CATCTGACCCCATAGGTTACCAGAAGAATGGAAGAGGCAGAACCACCTGTAAACTGCATGACCCGCCACCCAGGATTTGTTCCAGTTTGCCTGAATATCTATTCCCTGCAAAATGCCCTGAACATTTATCGGGCACAGCATGGGAACTTGCAAGTTAGAGGCTATGAAAAGTAAGTGAGATGAAAGAATGTCTATATTACGTTAGAATACTCGACCATATCGTACAAGCTTAGACACCATGTTGTCAATAACCAATAAGAGACATTTTGAAGTATCGGTAAGTTTTGGTCACAGGACTTGGAACAACTACTGATTTATCCTCTGCTGACAGCCGTTTCAGGAACTTGGCATACAGGTCATTTGTCAGCTGGTGTTGGGGGTATCTTGGAAAGAAGATTCGTGTCGTTATTCCCTCTTGTGTGGTGCAACGAATCCAAAGGGAGTTCCAGATGCGGCAGGACAATATGCTGGATTCAAAGCTCCTCTCCCCTGACTAAAGCATGCTACTCGAGGTGTGTCGTCCCGTTGTGATGACAAGTCAAATAAGATCCACGTTTGTATGTATTCATTACATTTTTCTTCAATGTTCCGATTTAATAAAAATTGTGAAATATTATGGTGAGTCAGGAGTGCTTTGTAAGGGATGAATACCTTGCCACACAGAACATTGAGAGTGAAAATAAAAATGAGCAGTGTCCATTCTGTGTGTAATTTCGGCACACCATGTTTTCTTTTCAAGCACGTGGGCTGAATCATTCACTACACAGCAACCAGGTATAGGTTAGTTCATTAAAAAGTCCCAATGACTGCGAAATTCAACACCGGAAGACCTGAGCTGAGATTAGAACTTGCAACATCTGAATGGTGCTGCTGTGCCTCTAAATTATTTCAGATTCAGAAAACTTTATTTATCCCCGTGGGGCAATTAGAGATTCAATAGAGATTCAAATAATTTATTCTTCATTACTTTAGGAAATTGAGTATATTGACTGTGGGTATTCAGTCTTAAGGCTCGTACAAATGCCTTATGTGCGCCTTTTATCTATTTTTAAGAGGCAAGATGGCGATTGTCGTGGGCATTCTCTTGAACTACATTCCCCAGGATGCTCTACCGCTACGTCACTTCCTTTGTAAAGCACGTGATTCCTGACTACTCCGCAACAAATTACTGACTGTTCAAACTATTTTGGAAATAAAATACAACTATCTGGAATTTGAAGGTGAAATGATTAAAAGTAGTGATGGCAAAATGAAGCTCCATAAAGCAGTCAAACCCTGCAGGGAAATACTTAATACACACGTAGGGGCTTCAAGATGATTCATTTCCTCGACTACGCCATCATGTGGACAGAAAATGTACAACATGCTTGGTGCATGCAACAACATGGTGTGTAAATCATACTCGGAATACAAAAAATATATATTTGAAGTGTTTTAACATGAATTGTTCTGTGTTACTTTGTCTATGTTTATGCTCATGCAAGAAGTGAAAATGTGAAATAAGGAGGTAAAATAAAGTGCTAATTCATTTTTATTTAAAAACTATTTTTTCCAAAGTCTTTGGACTCAGGCGGTTTCTTTTTTTGCTGAGAATTTCACCTGCTTTTGAAAAAACTCTTTCACATGGTACTGATGAAGCAGGGGTGCATAGATGTGAGATAGCAAGTTGGTATAGAATAGGAAGCATACATTTCTGTGATTCCCAGTACTGAAGGGGACTTTCAACTCTGGGGATGTTTGGCGCTCCAAGAAACTTTTGCACCTCAACTGTTGCATTTGCCGTGACATTTGTGGTTCTTGCTTGATGGATTGAGGTATCCAAATGATACCACAGTTTGCTTCCTAGAAAAGATAAACAGTTATTAGTAATTATTATTAAATATTAGCACAATTGGGAAATATTAAATACCTCCAACAGAAAGGGAAGGTTCTGATGATGATGATGACGGTGATGATGATGAAGTAGATGAGGACGCTGTGCGCCTCATAAGAGCTGCGCATTCCATCGTGAGCCTTTTTTCTGCCTCTGCTGCTTTATGGGGATGAGAAGCCTAGTTTTTTAAACCTTGGGTCAAGCAGAGTAGCCAGAAACATAATACTGCAGGTTGTTCAGCTTCTCTCATAAACTCAACCATGGATGTGCTCTCTGGAGTGGACGTCCTGGGTTTTTCCACTTCTGCTCCATTCCACCCCCCTCTTCCAGAACTTACAAATTTCACTCAAGGTACTCTTGGTGTCCATTGAATTTCTAATTGTGCATGCTCAGCCCTGGACGTATTTGATTCTCAACAGCCCTCCACAAGCTTCCTGTTTTGGCTTTTAGTCAAGAAACATTTTTACTTATTTGCCATGAGAATTATTTTTATAATGGCCAGTCATTTTACGGAGGGCATACTTGCATACTGCCAATCCTAAAATTTTAGAGGACGGAGGAACAAAATTAGCACCCCACACATTTCAATTTCAGTTTAGAAAAACAACAAACTGTATAATTTGAAAAAGACTATTTTTATTTCACACAAAAGATCAGCAAAAAAAAAAGGACAAAGGTACCAAGCGGGACAAATGTTTCAAGCAAACAATTGTTCCACACAGTCTTCACATCTCACATTTGTCACAAGGTGAAGTCCGCCTACATTTGCCACAAGTAAATTTGCCACAGGCTGCACAACGCCGAGTACTTCTGTTATTATTGCAGTGTTAGCGTGCCTGGCACTTATTCTTTATCTGCTGTCTCTCAACTTTCACCTTACGGCTCAGCAGTTTACGCTCTTCCACTTGTTGTTTTTCCTGCATCAATCTCCTTTTGAGCTCCTCTGAAAGCTCCAGCATGAACAATCTGCGACTTTCTTTTGACCCTGTACATGCTGTGTACAAAACGTGCGTTTGTGGCAGCCATGTCAAGGAGGTTATAAAAAACAGCCATCAACTCACTTGTATTCTTTGGCATTTGACTCAGCATGACTTAGATTTGTTCTTGGTTTTGCTGTTCGGTGCTTTCTACCATCTTTATTACCGATTTACTTTACTGTTTGTTGTCTTTGTTAAATTGCTCCATGTACAGCACTTTGTATGCAGCGATGGCTGTTTGAAAGTGCTCTATAAATACAGTTGAGTTGAATTGAGTTGTACCTTCATGCACAGAGTAACTGCGCAATTTCTGGTCCATGATGTCGACACCGCATTTGAGATTGTGCAGGACAGCTGTGTGTTTGTCAGTGGGTAAGTACCCACTCGTTGATGGGTACTTAATACAATGGACAGTAATTAGGGTGTGACACATACTTGATTTCTGTGGGGGGGGACAGAGTGGAGACTAAAGTCTCCCTCTTAGGAGTCTAAATGTTGAAGCAGTCGAATGTCCTCTTCTTCCAAATAGTGATGCAACATTGTCAACAGCGGAATTACCTTTGACCCGGAAACCTTCTCCTCAGACAGCTCAATTGTAGCATAGTTATATGGCTCTAATATTTTCACACAGTCAGCAATAATTCTGTATTGTTCAGCAGACAATGGTGTCAGATCAGTACGTAAACCAGCCAAAGCTGCTCCGACAGGCTCTCTCAAAGTGTACATACGCTGAAGCATGAGTTAAGTGCTGTTCCACCTTGTATCAACCTCCTGAATAAGTTTCAGCACCGCAAGGCCCATTTGAACTTGCATCTGAGTTAGTCTCTCCTACAACAAAATCAAGTGTCAAATCAATAAAGTACATAGAAAAAAAATAAAATGTTACATATGACAAGTAAGGAGCTTTCCTTTGCTGTAGTGCTGCTCTTAAAATAACCAACTATCTTTCGACAGTTTGTCCGGATGTGGAATAATTCAGGACATTGGTCAAGAGCTTTTTTTTTTTTTTTTTACCAAAAGATTTACAGTATGTGCACACAAATAGTGTGATGCATATGAAGCTGTCTGGCACAAGCTCCCACATTTGATGCACCATCAGTCACTAGACATGTCACTTTTTCACTGAGACCCCACTCAGACATGAGCGAAGTTTTCATAGAAGCCATGTTTGCTGCAGTGTGTGCCTCAGGGAAATGTTGCAGCCCCAGTACAACTGATTGGAGAGACGTGGTTTCATCAATGAAATGACATGTCACAGCTAGATAGGCATCAGTATCGATGGAAGTCCACATATCTGATGTCAAACTACACCCTTGGTTTCCTTGTACCTTTTTCCACAATAGCTTTCAAAGTCTTAAAAAAAGTATAATTTATTGAATTGAAAAGTATTGAAATTGTTCATCCGATAATATAGTGCTTCATGTTGTGACATACATACCTGCCGTGTAGGTAGAACATCGGAAGGAGCTAAAGCTTTCATAAGCTTTTTGAATCCACTGCCGTCCACCAAGGAAAACGGCTGGGAATCCTCAATTACCATATCCATCAACAGCTCAGCCAAGTCAACTTTCTCAGCTAAAGTAAATTACATGTCAGCGTTATAAAACAACCCCCCCCCAAAAAAAAAACAAACATCCAGTGTAGTGTGGGGCTATGAATATAAATGGCCAACCTGAGCCGGTTCAACCTGGTTGGTCTCCTCGTTGCCATGCAAGACTCTAAAGTGCCTTAGCATAGTTGAGGTGTTATTATTATAACTAAGCACCTTGGAAAACACCAGACACTTCACCTAAAAGTAATCAGAAAAGAAAAAATGTGAATTGTATGTGTTGTCACAATTTATTTTATTCATTATTGGAATCTGTTAAATAGTAATTGCAGTGCATTACCGTCTGGTGTGAGATCTGCTCAAAGTGCTCCCAAAGAGGGGAAAATATCCTCTTTCTTGCTGGTTCCATCGCAAAAAAGAAGCTCGTCGAATCGAATGCCAAAAAGTAGCGCAATGAGTGACCCGAAAACATAAAAAGTGAAGGGGAATCCATAGCGTTTCTTTGCGGCTTTTATTTCGAAATACACTCAAACCAATAGAATCATTTCCTGATCAGTCACGTGGTACTTCCACTTCACGGGGCTTCAAACGTCACCACATACGTCATCAACGCGCGCATCGACTCGCCGTTCATGAATCTCTCACCTATAACATTACTCGGCACACGCTTTAGGGATTCGACCCGAGAAGCACATCACTAATTAAAAGTGACCATTTCTTTTCCGCTCAACACATCTTCCGGCGGTTGGACGTGACTGGAGTTCTCGAGGGCAGTCGTCGCCTTTTCCGTCAACTGACGCTTTTGTTGGCCGCGAGACGAGGCGTGGATGAGGTAGTGCTGGACTTGAATTCTACAATTCGTCGCCTGTTTTTTTCCCCCACACCACACGAACGCTACGCAGTGTACACCCGGATGCGAACCCACGTTTGCTTATGCATATCAAGCGGTAACGTTTTACACAGTAGTGAAGCTTGGTAGCTAATATAGGCGATAAAGTTGAAAACGACAAACAAGTGAACGTATAACCTGTGTGTAATTATTAGTCCGTTTCGTTTGATAATTGTAACAAAGATAGTACGTCGAATGTACCCCCGTTTAGTTACCCGTTTTCTTTATTTGTAGCCATGTAGCTAAACTACAAACGTTAGCCCATGCACCACGAATGGCATCCTTGTAATAAGTTCAGCTCAACGCTGTAAACCAGGGGTGGCCAACCAGTCGGAGACGAAGAGCCAATTTTTTTACTGTGTTACTGCAAAGAGCCACATCATACCCTTCCTCGCGCGCGCACGCGCGTGAACACACACAAACACACACACTTTTTGGGCCAAAGATCGACTTTTGAAGCGACCACCTACTCACGAACGACCCGATCGCGAATGTGCAAGCGCGCGCGCACACACACACACACACACACACACACACACACACACACACACACACAAAGACAAACGCGTGCGCGCGCACTCACGCGGGTGCCCACCAGTGCACTCGTGCACATATGCACGCACACGACGACGGGCAACAGTCGGAACGGCCGAAAATGAATGACAGCTAAAGATACAAACAAACAAATCTTTTTTCCCCCTCCCATTTCCTCCTCCCACCCCCAGACTTGGGACCAGTTCGCCGGCTCCCGGTCGCTTTTGATCGACATATTGGGCACCGTGCCTTAAAATCAGAGGTAATTCGCTGACGAGCTTAGCGCCGTTGTTTGCGCATGAGCGGTGATGCAGTCATCTGATTGGTTGCCCTCTATGTCAATCAAGTAACGGTGCGATGATAGGCTGACGTCGTACGTTCTGTGTAGTTCGCGCCTTTTTTAAATGGCATCGCCACTGCCGAGGCGTTTTCGACTCTTGTCGTGTGAAAGCCGGGAGCCGCATTGAACCAGCCAAAGAGCCGCATGCGGGTTGGCCACCCCTGCTGTAAACTTTACCATGTCTCATCACTGCGTTCTTTCTTTGCAGCATTCGTACTGCACACACGCACGCCAGGCAACGCAATGAGTTGCGACGTGATGAAACTGAAACTGAACGAACTGAAGGGCGAGCTCCAGCGTCGCGGCTTGAACGCCAGAGGCCTAAAAGCGGAGCTGATGCAGCGGCTTCAGACGGCCCTGGAGAAGGAACCCCTCACGGACTCGCAAGGTAAACCAAACATTTACATTTGGGATTTTCCTGGCAGGAAAAAAGGTGAAGACCAATGTTTTTGTAATGGGATAGTGGTATGATTATACCCGGGAGGGTTCGACAGACTGCACCAGCGAGAGGTACCCGGTAATACTAACAGTGTAAACACAATCCAAAGTGACAGAAATAGTTTGTAATACCCCCACTCTAGTTTCATTTCGCTCGCTTTTGCGCAGGCACTTTCGCTGCGGTGTGCAGAGATGAAAGTCCTCCGGATTTTCCCGGAATTCTGGGTTTTTCAAATTTTTATGGAAATTTCTCCGGAGAATTTAGGAAAATTTGCATAAAATTAATCCGGATATTAGTTGACAACATTGAACGAAGACGCGTTTGAGTTCGTTGTATTGCTTTCACGAGCGTAGCCATATTGAGGCACTAACACTAGTAACAGTAAAGAGATTTTTGTTTGTGTAATAACGACAGAAGACATGATGGCGTTTGACTAATGGTTTAGTAGAACGAATGGCAACTCGCAACAACAGTAGCAAGCGTCATTTTGCCTCTTGGGTTATACCATCTCAACTAGAACGTGGGGGATAGTCCCCAAACAATTTTCGTCTCTTTATAAACACACCTGCTAAACCCCAGTGGAACGAATAAAAGACGCCGTCAACAAGACAGTTGTCGTAAAATATATATTTGGCCAAAAAGGGAAAAACACAGATAGGAAGAAAATCGTGTCCGTCTGACTTCGAGTGTCGTCTCGGCTAACTCAGCTCAGCTTTGCATCTTTCCGACTCCCAAGTGTCTCCTGGATGCTTTTTACTTTGTGTCCAGCCTCGCTCAAACGGATGCATTTCACTCGCTCCGCTTCAGTCATGACAGTTCTTCTACGTTTCGATGCCATGATCTACAGGACGCAAGTGAATAAAGTTAAATTTTTTCGCACTAAAACGCACGCCAATAAAAAGTCACTTACACGTCGTTGTTTCGAATCTGATGAATGAAAACGGCGAAGCGCATATATATATTCCCCCCCCCCCGGAATTTTCAGAAAAGTCCACTTTCATCTCTGGGTGTGGCATTTGCATGAGGCAGACGATGTTCGTGCACAAGGGAGCCTCTTGACGGCTGCTGCTTATTTTTTGCGCGGATGAAAGCGTCCTGCTTCTTTGAGAAACTCCTTCCTCAAGTCCAGTGGTTCTTAAACTTTTTTTAGTGGTGCCGAATGTAATGATGGTGCAGACAAACTTCACGTTTAATGCGACTTTTTAATAACAACGTGACATAGCCGAAAACATGCAGTGTGCTCACTCCAACAGTCACTTCCTGGAACTCTCCCTTTATAGGCGGGACCTGTCAATCAACTGGAGTATGACGTATCACAGTACAAACTTTCATAAAGTGACACTGGACACTGGAGACTACGTGTGTCTAGTTTTATTTGCATTAACTGCAGGCATTGATA